TTTCTACCAGCCAACCTTTGGGTGGTATAGGAATCTGGTGAGGTAGGTGCACTGAGGTTGCAGTTGTTATAGTAGTTATAACTAATATATACAATTACACACATAGATATATACATTTATGTATTTGTGTATATATACATATATAGATATAAATACACATAAATACGTATACTTTATATTCGTACACTGTAAATAGGGAGGTGTTGTATTGAGAAGGTAATTCCTCCAAATGAAGAAGGTAGTTACGTACATTTTTTTTTAAATGTGAAACGGTTTGTGGACATCCTGATCTCAAGTGGGAGCACTTTCCAGATTAGCACTGCTTCCACAAAGAACGAAGAGTTCACGAACTCGGAATAGGGAATATGCATGTATTTTTTTTATTTTTTTAAACGATTCTACTAGTTATTACATTACCAAGAATAAATATAACACATCCGAAATATAAACCGTTAAGCAAAAATTTTTTTATTAAAACCACTATAATTTTGGGGCAATTTGAACACATCCATTTGGCGCGCTTTTTTTGTGACGTCAGATTACACTTTCAGACGAATTCGATGTCAACAACGGAGTGAAGTTCACAAAGTTTCTGAAAGTTAAAAAAGTGAGTGATAAAAATTAACTTATTACCATAGAAAACCCAATAAAAAACTTATTATAAATATTGTGTCGTTCCTTTGTGGCCAAATAATATCAAAACTGCACCTGACAAAGTATATTCAGTCATTGTGTTGAGTCTTTCTACACGGGAATTTAATCATTTAACACTGAAAACGTATTAGTTATTAACTTAAAATGAAACAAATAATCATCAGAAACCAAATATTACAAATACACACAACTTGTTGACACTCTTGACAGTGTAGGTTGACGTCACGTTTTATTCAACCAATAGCGTTGCGTTTTAGAAATTTGCGAGGGAATCTTAAAAGAGACAATTTTTGATAATTAAATTTCACAATTAAATTATAATAAATTTTAAAAATAATTGTATGGGTATCTTTTTTTAGCAATACAAATTACAAATAAAAAGATTTTGTCCATTTTGTTGTCACGTGCATATTCCCTATTGTGGGAGGGACACAGATGAAGCAAATTATTTATTGAACGAAGATCGTGATTAGTGGACAGGAAACGCAGTTAGGGTTGAAGGTAAGTGGGTGAGAATGGGGAGTTGAGGAATGAAAAGAGAGCTGCGCTCGCTGATTACAGCGCAGGCGAATGGGCAACCATTGCAATTGAGAACGATAAGCAGACACGTGGTCATACTTTCCAAGATTAAATACAATATATCGAATACAGTTATTGAGAAGACGGTCTAGCTTGTTAAAGAGGCCTGCATTCAGGACTAAGTAACACATCGCCAAAATTAATTATAGGAATTATTAGGGATTGCATGAGAGAGATTTTCGTTTTAGGAGGCAGGAAATTCTTAAGACGGTATAACGTTCGCAGGTTTCCGACTCAAATGACTAACCTTAGCACGCCAATTATTTGTCCTGGGTGGAAATCGAAGCCACGACCTCCGTCTAAGCAGTCCGGGTTATTAACAACGGTTACAGTATCAACAGGCCCGTCAACTATATCCTATCAGTCAAAGCTGACTCCAATCCTGATCACGTAGCAGGTACTACATACTTTCAAAGTGCCCGAAGTTTCGACTAGGTTGAACTGGCCGTGGTGAACCTGTGGCCTAGGTTGGCCTGTGATTACGTATATGTATGTTGAACCTGTTACGTGATAGCGAGAATTTCCGTGTTATGTATGTGTATACCATGGAATGCGAAAGTTCAAAAGTAAGTTCAGTGTAAACTCTTTCTGACTAAACTCAAGGGACCGAGCATTTTTAGTGTTCCGTGGTAGGATTAGGAACCTTTATTTATCAATACCGAGTTACCATCACGTGGATTGAAGAAATAATATAATCAGAACTAAAAGCATTAGATGTAAAAGTTAATTAAATTATTCTCAAACCTGTCCGACATTTTATGCTGCACCAAAATTTGAGTAATTATTTATACGCGCAGGCATTTACAAGATCGCCCATCAGATTTGGTCCTAGACCAAGATTTAAAAGATTTAATCCTTTGTAAGCTGAAAACATTAGCATTATAATAAAAGTAAACATTTACTGCGTCTAAATATGACCATATTTTTTTTACTTTGTAACAGAGAATGGCTGTGCACTGTAGTGAGCTTACGTACAGGTTTTAAGGCAAATCAACCAAATTGTCCTCATTTTTACATTACAGTTAGATTAGCGTTACAAAGTACAACATTATACATGGTTTATACTGTATGTCTTTTCCATTAATTTAGGTTTTTTATGTATAACTAGCTGAGACCCGCGGTGTTACCCGCGTTTGTTGTTATAACCGCGGGCAACGCCGCGGGGCGAAGCTAGTCGAAAAAAAGTAGCCTAAGTTACTCCTTATGTCATCAGCTGTCTGCCAGTGAAAGTCCCGTCGAAATCGGCCCAGTCGTTCCAAAGATTACCCGGAACAAACAGACAGACAGATAAAAATTGAAAAAAATGTTATTTTGGCATATACAAACATATACATTTAGTAAAAAGCGGTTATTTTAATATTACAAACAGACACACCAATTTTATTTATTTGTATAGACTAGCTGCTTGTGTTGCCATATACAATGCTTCAATTGGTTTGTCAAAAAAAAAATTAGGGGTATGAAAAATAGATGTAGGCCGATTCTCAGACCTACCCGATATGCACAGAAAATTTCACGAAAATCGGTCGAGCCGTTTCGGAGGAGTTCAACCACGAACACCGTGACACGAGAATTTTATATATTAGATTTATTTTGCTGAATATTTGCCAAAACAGGGATTTTGGGTATAGGCCTATTGCAGTCAGCCGTTCAATATGAAAGGTAAAGTTGGTCAGATGGGAATGAAAGGATAGGAAAGGAATATACCTTATACAGAGGGATTCTAAGTTAATAAGGGAGTCTAAGTTAATATTAAGTATATTAAGGTAGCATATCTGTAACCCGTAACTGGATATTGCCGGGTGGCCTAAAATATATTGATAGACAATAATTTTAAAAGGTTCTTAAAAGTGGTGCAACAAATTATCGCCGATTCGACCTTCAGACCTATCGAACTCCTAACTCAAATACGGCACGGCCGTGACTCCGAGTTCCAGGCGTTTATGGGCCTTGGTAGTCACTTTCTACCAGGTGACCCGTGTGCTCGTTTGCCTCTGTATAATATAAACAAAGTTCTGTTTTTTTTTACAATTTGTTGTCGGTTACAATAAAACACAATACTATGTGAGGGTAAAAAGAATATCACTTTATATGTACATGAGGAGGTTCCGTGACTTTGATCGTTCATAAAAGGAAGGAACTGACTCCATAATAAGCTTGGCAATGAACATCGTACTGATGCTAATTGAATGGTTTCCTTACAGGGATTACCACGTCGCAACAATATCGATCGGTACAATGTTTTAGACAATCAGTTTCATTAGACAATGAAAAATATTAAATGTTACTCAGTATTATTTGGGTACGGTGGAATATGTATAATTCGAAGGATTTGTTAAGGTCGGTCTACTACCGGACGAGGACGAGAATGTAGGCAGAAAGTAAATTGGAGTAAAGGAAAAAGGGTAGAACAAGGTAGTTCTGGTACCGCAGGTTTCGAATTTGGAAACGAGACTGCATTATTAGGTCGTACAGATAAGACAGGAATATTAACTGACCTATGTTATTATAGTTATATACTCCTACTCCATAAAAGGAGATTATCGTATGTGTTGTAGTGGTCCACCAACGGCCCCGGCAAAGCCGTTAGGGTGTGATATAGGGTGGTATTAAGAATACAGACTGTCACCACCCCACTTTATCCCGTGGGTGTCGTAAGAGCCGACTAAGGGAGTAAACTACGTAGGACAACAGCACTGCAAAGAGAAGGAAAACTTGAAACAAACCCTATACCAACCCGTCTGGCTAGCGAGGCATAGTAGGCCAAAACCTTCTTTTTAAGGATAGGCCTACGTCCAGCAGTGGACTAGTAAAGGCTGTTGATGATGATCATGATAGTGTAACAAAAAGACAAACAAAATCGCACTTGAATTTACAATATAGGTCAAGGTTGTGTATTATCACAACCCTTATTACTGACGTGTTTCGTAGTAATATTTTTGTTGTGTTGTATGTTGACATTGTAGGGTGGGTAGCGTACTCGTTATTTACTTGATAATAATCTTGCAGCCCTTGTGTTTACTGATGGGGCAGACTACTTTAATTTTAATGTGGACTTTGGAAATATGTGTTTAGTTACATACCTACGCACTTGTGAATTTGGTGACGTGGAAGTTCAGCTAAACAAAAAATTACTTACTTAAATCGATTATAATTCATTTTATCACAACAGCTGTACAGTTTTGATATATCAAACCAAGCTTAAGAATAGTGCTTTATAATCAATTATTTTCCATTTCATAATTGGGATCAACTCATACACGTTCACAACACACACACTTCACGTTAAAAAGTCAAGTGAGGTTAAGCATCCTTCAAGTGTGTGGAGGAACGGGCATTATGTCCCTCCAACACAAAGAAAGGATCCTCCGACTGGATGAGGTGATCATCCCTGGCGGACTGCGATCCAACGATTGATATTGTCAAGTTGTATATAATCGGAGCGAGAACTATCATTGCGCGATACAGGATTGCTAGTTGCTCCGTAGTTGGTCCGTTAACCCCTCCAGCTGATGTAAATTGCTTGTGTCAGGAGTGGGTTCACGTCGGTAGTGTACTGGTCAGGATTTTAACCCACAACCTCTTGATCGCAAGTCCAACGCGTTAACCACTAGGCTACCCCCGCTTCTAGAATTTCGCATTGTTTCGTTCTGTGTGGAAGTTGACAACACACACAAAAACAATACGGTCAAAATGGGACCCTACTCTTCTCTCTTCCAAGAAACATAATTTCAAGTGAAATAACCGTAAATTTGCTATTTTTACAGTGTTCCATCGTTCATCCCCCTGTTCCTGTTCGAGCAGTTCCGGCGTTACTCAAACTGCTTCTTCCTACTGATCGCCTTGCTGCAGCAGATCCCAGATGTGTCTCCAACTGGCCGATGGACCACACTCACACCTCTCATACTGATCCTAAGTGTGAGCGCCATCAAGGAAATCGTTGAGGACTTCGTAAGTAATATATATATGAAACAAGGCACAGATTATATAAAATATAGTTGAGAACAGCCTGACCTGAGCTTTTGCCAACGACTTCGTCCGCGTGGTGGTTGACATCAGATATCATAGAGGATACGCTACTACCAAAAATTATGAAGTTTCATATAAATTTCCAACCCACATTTTGCACCTTTAGTTCCACCAATTTAAAAAAACCTCACACAGGTAAGGAGTAAAACTGTGACGCAGGAGAAACTACTAGTATAATTAAAAAAAGACGTGTGGCACTCGGGGACTGCCGCGGTAAAGCTATTGCATAACATTTTGTATCAACTTATGCAATTATAATTATTTATTTATTTTATTTATGCAGTATTTCTTTTTCTTTGATATTAATTCAAGTTACACTTTTTGAGCGTGGTGACCGATAAGAAAACATTTTTTTTTTCTTTTATTAAATTAAAATATTAAACATTAATTACAATTTGTTTTTAAATAAATAAATAAAAAATATTATTATTAAATCAAATTACATATCCATGTAAGATTTTTCTGCATTATGTTGACGAAATTTCCTTTGACGTTCAGCATTTGATTTTGGTACTGTTTTTTGTTTTGTTTTTAGCGTGAGGTTTTTTTTCGTTACGGAATTTCTGGATTCGGTCCCCGCGCTCAAGGCCCTCGATAGAAGCTATGCAATAGCTTAAAAACCCTTTCTTAGTGCACACCTACGTCACCTAAGGAACATTTGTGACAAATTTTCTTGCTTCTAGACCCAGCGGTTTTATCTGTGCGTTGATCGACCAGTCATTGAATCAGTCTATCAGTTCCTTCTTTTATGGATATAGAAATTAATACATGTAATCAATTTTTTTGTACCCCATTTTAAAACAAATATGGCGCAACGAAGCACATCATATTTGGAATACTTACTGTTGGTATTTAGAAGAAGTGCACAAAGATAATAGTTTTAAACAATAAATACTAATTTATGTCTATTATAGACTGTTAGCATTTATTGTAAAGATTAATAAATTAATTTGAAATAAGGGTAGCGTACATGTTATTCCTAAGTCAGAATCTGCGCGCCTTTTTGTCACTGAATTTTACCTTGCTTCAGATTTTTCCATTTTGTTTTTTGGGCTGCTTTCTGTAATTGTTTATTTAGTTAGAAATACAGCTCACACAAAATACACATATTCGAAAGTTTATTATTTTTCTATTTCACTTATACAACAAACATTTTATAATGTCCGACAGAAACGGCACAGGGCAGATGATGAGACCAATAAGCGGAAGGTGGACGTTCTCCGGAACGGACGTTGGGAAAGTATCCGTTGGGAACGTCTACAGGTCGGAGACATATGCAAGGTGCTCAACAATCAATTCTTCCCGGCAGACCTCGTACTCTTGGCCTCCAGGTGAGACGAAAGTGTTTTTTAACTATTGTAATTTTTTTATGTCACGGGTCACCTGATAGAGAGTGACTACCGCCGCCCATGACCGCCTGCAACTCAGGAGTCACAAAAGCGTTGCCGATCTTTTAGGAAGGAGTACGCTCTTTTCTTAAAGGTTTGAAGGTCTGAACTATTGTATCAGGGGTAAACCAGCAGCGATGGTGCCCGCCGCCCATGGACACTTACAACCCATTTAGAAGTATTGAATAAAGAATATCTGCATCATGAATTTCAGCATTTACATCGCATATCATTGTATGGGTTAATAAAACTTTGGTTTGATGCGGTTGCAGTCAAAGAATCAGGGGCGGGGATCTTCCTCTCCCAATTTCTCCAAAAGAATTCAATGTCACATTTGTAGGTGAAACTGATAAATGTATTGGCGACTACCAGATATCTGAGTAAACTTGAAGCTTTATCAGTAATGGGGGCAGATATATGACTGGAGAATAGTTTATTACAGGCAAACTATCAATTATGACAAGTCTTTTTAAACTTTAGTAAAGAAAAATATTAAATGTTTTTGTTGACAGCGAGCCCCAAGGCATATCATTCATCGAAACATCCAACCTAGATGGAGAAACAAATCTGAAGATCCGCCAAGCTCATGCAGAGACAGCTCGTTTGGACAACACGCCTGCGCTGGTCGAGTTCACTTCTACGGTGCAATGCGAACAGCCGAACAGACACCTTTATGAGTTCAACGGACAACTCAAGGAGTCAAACGCCCGGTACGGAACCTGATAAAGCTTTCGCATACCAGCGTACTGAGAAGAGAATCAGCGAAATACATTTAGTCAGTTGATCGCTGATTCTATTTTAGTTCTCTAGCGCAAAAACTGTAAGTGTTTTTATGACGCAAGTGAGCAGACGGGTCACCTGATGGACACCTGTAACAGTCACAAATATGTTGCCACCTTTTCAACGTCCCCTCTCCCTGATTCTGGGGGATCAGTCAGGGGGAGGAGAAGTTTGGGCTCCGGTAACCACCCTCACTCACTCAAAAATTTCCTAGTTTTCTTTGAGGTCATGGAATCACTCCAATCAAATAAATATTTATGGTATCAAAACATTTCCAGAGCAATACCATTGAACTTGGATCAGATGTTGCTACGTGGTGCGATGTTACGGAACACGTCCTACATTTACGGCGTGGTGGTGTACACGGGCCACGAGACCAAACTCATGAAGAACTCCACCAAAGGTAAACAAACCCATAATAAAGTTCGTTTAGGCTTACAGAAGGAAATACGGTACTACGGTTAGGGACCTTTTTTGGTGGTGATGGTTTGGAAAATCCCTTCGAATCTCCGTCTATCGTGGGACGCTATTTTGGTTATGCAGGGTCTAGGAGTTCGTGGTGTTTACACTTAAACCATACCGACACGGCCGTCCCCAGGATCTGAGGAGGTCACGGACCATGTGGGTTAGGAACCTGCCTATAGCCCTCTCTATAGCATGATGAACGACTTTGATCTTAGTTATCAAGCTCATAAATCAAAATTAATAAAATACAATACAGCTTATTGACATGTGCTGTCACGGGCCTGTTGGTCTAGTGGTTAGTGACCCTGACTGCTAAACCGGAGGTCGTGGGTTCGATTCCCACCCAGGACAAATATTGTGTGATGAGCACGGGTCATTTGTTCTGTGTCTGGATGTAATTTATCTATAATATGTATGTATTTAGAAATTTATAAGTATGTTTATCAGCAGTCTGGTTACCATAGTACAGGCTCTGCCTAGTTTAGGATCAGACGGCCGTGTGTGAGTGTGTGGAATATATTATTATTTATTATATACCAACAGGACCAACTTACTGGCGAATCTGCCACTTACTGTATCAACAATCCGTGTAATCAACAGGGTTAGCACTAAAATGGAAATAGTCGTGTAACTCGAGTGAGCTCGCGAGGGTTATAATATATGTAGTATCGTATAACTTATATTTAAATTTTTACTTCTCGTATGACTATTTTGGCTATTTCTTTTTTCATTTTTAGTTATATTTCTGTTATTTTAAAATTATATAATTATGTGTTGAATTAGTTTAATAATAGTTGTAGCTCCAAAATCGCATTGGGTTTCCAAGAAAATAAGTAAACCTAAAATAGGTTAGTACTAGAAATATATTAACTTAAAGTTCGTTGTCCACAGCGCCCCTCAAACGATCGTCGATCGACCGACAGACGAACACACACATCCTCATGCTGTTCCTCATCCTGCTGACGCTGTCCTTACTCAGCGCTGGCTGCAACGAGCTTTGGATGCGCTCACACGCGGATTGGTACTTGGGGCTACAAGGTGAGTTGCGCATACGCAATACTCTCTCTTTTTTGGATATTAAAGATATTCAAGTATAATAAAGATAGTTGATGGTTTTTACTGCTTTTAATTAATTTATTGAACCTAGTTTTAATAGTTATTTGAATGTTATCTTTTATTACATTAAAAAAAATATAAAAAAAATGCTAGCAAATTCAATAGCTATTTTATTGTAATTCTTATTTTAAATTATATCAAATTAATTATTTTCTAATCACCTATCTTATTTTTACTTTTATGAACGTTATTTTTTGTGCATGTGGTGTCAGCCTGTAAGTGATTCCGTTATTTTTTGTGCATGTTATGTTAGCCTGTAAGTGATTCCGTTATTTTTTGTGCATGTTATGTTAGCCTGTAAGTGATTCCGTTATTTTTTGTGCATGTGGTGTCAGCCTGTAAGTGATTCCGTTATTTTTTGTGCATGTTATGTTAGCCTGTAAGTGATTCCGTTATTTTTTGTGCATGTGGTGTCAGCCTGTAAGTGATTCCGTTATTTTTTGTGCATGTTATGTTAGCCTGTAAGTGATTCCGTTATTTTTTGTGCATGTAGTGTTAGCCTGTAAGTGATTTAGTTATTTTTTGTGCATGTGGTGTTAGCTTGTAAGTGATTATTGTACTTTCACATGTTTAGCCTTAAGTTGAATCTGTAATGCTTAGTGTAATAATCGTTGACTGAGCAAATAAATAAATTTATTAAGCTTTTTAAAATAATGGCCTCCGGTCTAACTAGTATTAATTTAACATACACATATATAAAGTCACGCTAAATCAACGAACGGGTACGTTTTAACCCAACTTATGTAATCGCGGACAAACCTATGGGAAAATTAGGAAGAAATTAGAAGTAAGGAAAAGTATGTAAGATCGAAATGGATGGTTGAAATTGATTGGACAGGGCAAGATGTTACTTACGCTGTTTATGAGCTACTGCTCTCAACTGAAGCTGGAAGAAATCTGAGCCCTTTTACCATTTAAACATTTAAAAATATACTGATTAGTTGTAATGTTAGTTATAGATATTTCACATCACATCACATCAACAGCCTTTAACAGTCCACTGCTGGACATAAGCCTCTTCTTAGAAAGGAGGTTTTGGCCTACTATACCACGCTGGCAAGACGGGTTGGTATAGGGTTTGTTTCAAGATTTCCTTCTCTCTGCAGTGCTGTAGTTCTTCGTAGTTTGCTCCCTTAGTCGGCTCTTACGACACCCACGGGATGAATAGGGGTGGTGACACTCTGTATTCTTAATCCGTCACAATATATTAATTTATTTTTGTTTTGTTCCAGCGGCACAGAAGGCACACTTCGGATTTAACTTTTTAACGTTTTTGATACTGTACAACAATCTTATACCTATATCGTTACAAGTTACTGCGGAAATAGTTAGATTTTTTCAAGTAAGTATTGTTTTTTTTTTCCAAAAAATACGAAAATTCCTTTTAGAATATTGCAATCATATGAAATCATCGTCCCTTACCCTTTTCTAATTTTATTAAATCTTTTAGCGATTGACCAACTGACGTCAAACCTGCTTGGAAATGTAATCATTTTCTGATAGACCAAATGAAAAAACAGTTTACTGACCTGTCCGCCTAGTGGTTTGATTCCCAGTCAGGACAAATAAATTTAAGCAGTCTGGTTACCCTAGTTCAGGCTCTGCCTAGTCAGACGACCGGTTGTGAGATGTGGGAGGTTAATATTATTATTCGATGAGGTGATAAGAGGCATTTATACTATTATAGGATGGGCAATGGGACTTAAGTGCAGAAGCTTGAAAAGTCCGGTAAATGTACCCAGATGTCCTCGATTTGTCCTTGTATTACGATTAGAGAGGCTATTAGAAGAAATACATCAATCATCCATGCTTAGTACCACGCAGTTATCTGAGCATAGTTATCTACCAGCAGGGTATCTTTTTTTAAATCTATACAAATAAATAAAGTTGAAGTGTCTGTTTGTAATGTCAAAATTATAGTTTTTTTTTCATGCTCACACGGTTATTTGCACGATACCTATGCCTAAAAACTATTTTTTTTGTCTGTCTGTCTGTTTGTTTCGGGTAATCTTCTACTGGACCGATTTCGATAATATATATATATATATATATATATATATATATATATATAGCTGTCTACATAAGGAATAACTTAGGCTACTTTTCCACTCAGAAAACCCCTTTAAAATTTTGCCCAGTCCAGGCATCGAACCTACTAAGGCAGCGCTTTTCAAATACCACACGAAAGAAGTCGCGGGTACTAGCTAGTATTATTTAATACTACTAATGATATTCTCCAGGCAAAGTTCATAGCTATGGACTCTGAGATGTACCACGAGGAGACAAACACGCCCGCCATGGCCCGCACGTCGAACCTGAACGAGGAGCTAGGCATGGTCAAGTACATCTTCAGTGACAAGACTGGTACTCTTACATGCAATATTATGGAGTTTAAAAAGTGTTCCATAGCTGAGGTGAGATTGTTTCTTTACATACTAATCTTTATATAAAAATGTTAAGTTGGTCTGTGTTCAAAAACTGAAAAATTTCTGCATCTCTTCTAAGATTGTTTGTATCTATTATTGTTGTCCGTTCTGTTCTCGTTTCTCATCAGTGCAACCACAAGTGAATAAGAAAATATGAATATTAAGAATTTAAATGAAGGTCAAATACAGTAACGCCTAAACTGTACCGCAGTGGGCGTGGTCTTAAAACAGTACTCGCGGTGTACTTAGGGTAATATGGGTAAAATAACTATGACTTAAACTAAAATGACTATTGAACTATTGGTTTCTAAAAAGACAACTAAATAAGTTTACTACAATTAACCGATTTCAAAAGAAGGAGGTCTCACCGTCTATTATGAATCAATTTGGAAAATCCTTTTTGTTTGGTAAAGTGTTTCTCGTTTGGAAGGAAATAAGGAAGTCGGTAATAATGTTTAAAGTTAAATATTTTTATAGATAATTTACAATCCTCCTGGACAAAACGAGCGGCTGGAAGACGGCTTGCTGTACCAGAACCTGCAGCGGAACCACCCCACGGCGCCAGTTATCCGCGAGTTCCTCACGATGCTGGCGCTGTGCCACACCGTCATACCCGAGCGGGTCAACGGGAAGGTCAACTACCATGCCGCCTCCCCAGGTAATCTAACACTAAATCTCTTGATTGCAGCTCTTCAACCAATTAGTCCTAGAGGATAGTGCTTTTTCTTGATGAAATATATTCATATACTAGCTGAGACCCGCGTTGTTACCCGCGTTTGTTGTCATAACCGCGGGCAACGCCGCGGGGCGAAGCTTGTCTAAAAAAAGTAGCCATAGTTACTCCTTATGTCATCAGCTATCTGTCAGTGAAAGTCCCGTCGAAATCGGTCCAGCCTTTCTAGAGATTACCCGGAACAAACAGACATACAGACAGACAAAAATTGTATTTTTTTTTATTTTGGCATATGTACCGTGTAAACATATATATGCATTTAGTAAAAAACGGTTATTTTAATATTACAAACAGACACTCCAATTTTATTTATTTGTATAGATTACGACCTTTTTGGATCCTTATAACATGTATACAAATAATAAGTGAATTCGTTGATTACGGTCTATTCGCATTAATAAAATAGTGACGCATCGATGAAACCCCGCCCCCTGACCAATCAGGTTCCAAGAAATTATCGTTTCGTACGAAAGCTTGGAAACTTTTGATTCGTCACTATTATCTTAACGTAAATGGACTAATATTTTTTCTTGTATAAGCTTGAAAATCATATAAACTAATTTTAGCATTTATAATAATAATTAGGTTATTGCATGCATAACACGTTATTTTTTTCTCTGAATATTACAATGAAACATAGTTGACGTTTTTACTGCCTTGCTTGGCTCAACATTTTCCACATGCGCTTAACCGGTTTAAAATCAAAGTTATTCCCTAGTTGTACTCGTAGTAGTTTTTAGAAACCACTTATGTTCTTTTTTTTAGTTCAATATTTATATTTAGAAATCATCTTTTTTTTTATTTGTTATTGCTGCTATTTTTAGTGTTTCTTTTTTAAACAAAATTTCTAGTAACTGTTCCATTGGATCCATATTTTATCTCACTGTACTGATACTGTTATGAATGTTATGTACACCGTAATTGTTGTATATATCAGAATAATTACCATCAACTGAATGTAGCGTGAATTGTGTAATATATACAATGTGGTTGTACTTATTATAATAAATAAATAAACATGGCGTCTACAGTAGACGCCATGTTTATTTGCCAAATACTGCTACTAAGTAGTAGTAGTAGACGGTCTACTAGTGATTTCATCAATTTACGAATGGAAGTTTAAAATTAATTGTACTTAGCAATTGTATAAGATTTTATTAATAGTATTGGTTGTTCACTGGTGCTTTAAGAGCATATTAAAACACTATTTAAGTGAAGTAATAATTTCATAGTTGTTTGCAATGCAATATAAAGATATGTCGATGCGCGTGCGCATAGACGTGTACCGTACGTTGGGTGTGGTTGTGTACAGACGAGCGCGCGCTGGTGCTGGGCGCGGCGATGTTCGGCTACGTGTTCCACACGCGCACGCCCAGCTCCGTCACGCTGCAGCTGCAGGACCGCCTCGAGGAGTACACCGTGCTCCACGTCATCGACTTCACCTCGGCACGGAAGCGCATGTCCGTCATCGTCCGCACGCCCACCGGTTTGTCTTTTATGTGTTTCCTTTTATCTATCTCACAGAAATTCGAGTACATCTTTATTTGTAGAATTGAGCAAAAAATCGACGTAAGTGGTGTGCAATCACACATCAACAGCCTATACTATTGACTGCACGGATGGCGTAGTAGTTTAAGCGGTCGCCACGCCGCTTCCTACTGCGCCGAGTGTTGTGGGTTCAAACCCCACATGGGACGACACTTTGTGTGATCCACAAATTGTTGTTCTGAGTCTGGGTGTTCTTTGTGTCCGTTTCGTGTATGTTTGTAAAGCCCCCGCGACACAGGATTTATTCCTAATGCGGGCGTTGTCTTCTTTAAGATAAAAAAAATAAAGATACTAGTCCATTGCAATAGGAGAGGCCTATGTCCAGCAGTGGACTGCGATAGGCTGATGATGATGATGAAAGTCAACAATTATTTAATTACAAGTGATCACAGTGTGATCACACACATAATGTTTGTTAATAAAAAAAGAATCATCAAAATCGGTTCACCTAGTCAAAAGTTCTGAGGTAATAAACATAAAAAAAAAACAGTCGAATTGAGAACCTCCTCCTTTTTTTGAAGTCGGTTAAAAATAGACATCAGTCCACGAATCAAACTCACAGCCGCTCTTTTAAATCTTCAAATAATTATTACATTAGTTAGTAAATTGTATTACATCTCTCATGTTCGGTAAATAGGTTCTTATTACCTCCAAATGGGGCTTGTAACTGACTAATTAGCGCTATATGGTAATAATATAGCTAGAAAAGCCCTAGGGCGGTAAGTAATTAAAAAAAAACACTTCTTTCTTTCAAAAAGTTCGCGTACATCTAACCATCATACTGGCAATAGACATCATGCATTCAGCCCAATTACCAAAGAGGTCGCTTTGCTATTCAGCCTTGTCTTCGTGTGAGTATAATACTCATCAATTTTAAATATCGAACGGCGATGCTCAATTTTGATCTGAAAAAAAAAAACTTAAACGGTTCTTTACTTGATTCTTTTTAATGAAAAAAGGCGGGAATAGAAAACTTTTTTATTTTTTTGTTGCTGCCCTTGGCTACTAATCTACTATTACAATATTGTTTTATAGTTTAGTAAGTTTTATAATTAATTGCTCAAAAAGTTATTGTACTGTAGAGTTAGTGAGTACTATACATTTTAAATAAAAGATAAAACAAATGTGTGTGCATGGAGTATTGATAGGATTCTTACATCATCTGTAATCAAAACCAAATCAAAATGGTAGATGACGTAATTTTTTAATAAAATCATTAATTAGTTTTTTGAAAATGTGCCTAATGTCCAGGCCTCAATTCTGTTATTCTAATATTGTATCAATAGACTGTCGATGGAATGTCGTCGGAATAGTTTTGCACTTTTCGTATTCTACTAACTACGTAAGACCGATGGCCTGATGATCTGTCACTGAACTGCCACTGATGCAAATGCCGTCAATGTCTTTGGAATAGTTTGATTTTAATTTACCTTTATTAGTATATCGATAGTCTATTGACACTGTGAATTTATGTTAGTAGAATACTGATATTTTGACCGATGTCAATAGCATCACAATAGCGTGTCAATAGAACGACAGTGGTTCGGCGTTAACATAAAATAGCAGAATTGAGGCCCTTCTGATGTAGTAGTGTAGCGATGTCGTGTGGCAGGACAAATAAAGCTGTACTGCAAGGGCGCGGACTCGGTGATCTTCCCGCGGCTGTCGGGCGGCGGCGCGCGCTACGCCGACGCGACGCTGGCGCACCTCGAGCACTTCGCCTCCGACGGGCTGCGCACGCTCGTCTTCGCCGTCGCAGACATTCCCGACGACGTCTACAAGGTACCGCACTACTGCCCATCGAATATATACCTTATGCCCTCCACATACACTCCAAATTCCCGTTTATATAGCTGTCTCGCTCGCTCTCTGCGACAGTACTAAAAATCTACATCAAATATGAAGATCTAAAAAAAATCTCACTCGATTAGAGAATAATATGTCTCAATAGATAGTTCCTCTCCGATAGTTCTGTCCGTGTGGTGACGGATTAAGAATACGGAATGTCACCGCCTCTATTCATCCCGTGGGTGTCGAAAGAGACGACTGAGACAGCAAATTACGCAGGACAACATCACTACAAAGAGAAGAAAAACTTGAAACAAACCCTATACCGACCCGTCTGGCCAGCATGGTATAGTAGGCCAAAACCTCCTTTCTAAGGAGAGGCCTATGTCCAGCAGTGGACTGTTAAAGACTGTTGATGAGATAGTTCCTCTCTGTTCCAGGACTGGGCCAACACGTACCACAAAGCGAGTATAGCGATACAGGACCGCGAGCAGAAGATCGAAGAAGCCGCTTTACTTATTGAGAACAATCTAAGGTTGCTCGGCGCCACGGCTATCGAGGACAAACTGCAGGTACCCACAGTTTTAAAAATTAATATAAATCAGTTACTTCTTAAAATAAATTTTGCTGGTTCTGTGACTTAATATCCTAGCGGTTTGCTATACAAAAATAAACTTTTAGTAAAATATCCTTACGGATAATAATTAAAGGTTTTCGTATAACTGTACCATACATGTAGTTTACTTTACAATACAATAAAAACAAACCTTTATTTCTACTTTAGTTTACTAAATACTAATCTCCACCGCTTAGCTTATTTCTCATTACGAGTTTCTAACTTTGAAAAGTACGATATATCCATACAACTGTTAGTCGTTAGAAGTTCAATTCACAAAAAATATTTCTTTCGGGTGCATACAACATAAAAAAGCATCAACTGCCAAAGTTTCAAGTTTCTAGCCCCAGCGATTCAGGCAGTCACTCATTACAAATAAATTGTTATGTATAGATTACAGTTCATGATTTGAAACTACGCAGGACAACAGCACTGCAAAGAGAAGGAAAACTTGCCACAAACCCTTTGTTTTTTTTTTACGTGTGGAAATCCCCTCGGACCGTCACCCCGCCGGGCCTCGCCGGGTTCTCAGTTCGGCGGGGCGGTGTGTCGGACTTAAACCGACTAAAACCACGCGATGTGCCCTCTTTGCGCTTCTATTTTAGGGGGGTCAGGTAGTTATCGCCTTCTGGACCCCTCCCAGCGCCGGCCCGCTCCTGGTGCCACAAACTCTATACCAACCCGTCTGGCCAGCGTGGTATAGTAGGCCAAAACCTCCTTTCTAAGGAGAGGCCTATGTCCAGCAGTGGACTATTATAGGCTGTTGATGTGATGTGATGTTTTGATTTAGTACTTGCGACATATTGCGGCTGTTAATATATCCTTACAATTTGCAAGTAAGCTGTATGTATGCGATTTATCCAGGTCTAGTTTAAATAATGAGAGCGGTGTTGTTATACCCAGGACGGTGTTCCCGAGACGATAGCTGCGCTGCTGAAGGCCAACATCCACGTGTGGGTGCTGACGGGCGACAAGCAGGAGACCGCCATCAACATCGCCCACTCCGCCCGGCTCATACACACCGGCATGCCTCTCGTCATACTCAATGAGGACAGTCTTGATGTAAGTAAACACTAATCGTGATTTGATTCAATTGTATGGCAAATGGTAAGTGATTACCGCAATTAACTCAAGATTCAGGATCTAAATGAAGAGAGATTGGGTAAACAATATGGCCATTGTTTTTTTTACTTATATTTGCGTTTTAAATTATTGCTACTGATGAAATGATTGGTTTAAGTCACAGTGATTCTACATGTTAATGTGATTTCGTCATAGACACAGATAAGTGTAATTAAAATCATAAAAATTCTTATCAAAGATTATAACCTCTTTTCCCGATTTAGACCTTTCACGAGTCTTGCGCTAACGTAATAATAATAATAAGTCGCAGTGGTTTTGTGAATCAGTCACAGGTGTGATTATACGTTTTATATATCATATGATTTATCACATGTGATTGCGATTTTATTCCATCCTCAGTTATGACCTCAGATCATAACTAATGACTTTAATTGTCAAATAGATAATTATTGTTTGTGTCCTTTACAGATTATGATATAGATATTTGCCTGTTCTTTTTATTCGATCGTGGAGTTCCTTTTCTAAGAAAAAGGTGAAAAATATAAAACAGCACGAATGACTTACAATTATAGCGCCAATATCAAAACCAAGCCTAAACGAAAGTATTGAGGTTCCTAAAATATAATTCTCTGTTGTGTGTGCAGGGTACCCGCGAAGCCATATCACGACACGCGGCAGAGTTCGGTGAGAACTTGGGCAAACAGAACGAAGTGGCTTTGGTTATTGATGGCAAGACGCTCACGTATGCCATGGGGTGTGACTTGAAGAAGGATTTCTTAGAGCTGTGCATATCGTGCAAAGTTGTGGTGTGCTGCAGAGTGTCGCCCATACAGAAAGCAGAGGTGAATGTTTTAGTTTGTTTAGTTCGCTATAATTTGAATCAAATTGACTTATCTTATGGTGGCTTGGAAGACATGGCATTTAGAAATTAGGCCGCCGTTTTTACTTTATTTCGTCGACAAATCAATGTCACAATTATTTAATTTGTAAAAATGGTGTATAATTTTAACGAATTGATATCTAATATGGTTAAAAAATGCAATAGTTACACTTTACCTACGTGTACATGCTCAAGGATACTTGTGTGTATACGTGTACGCAACGGTACATGCATGCGTGTACGCATGTACATAGCAGTACAAAGATATTAAATTTTAATTTGTTGATTTCAACCGGAAAATTTCTTCTACGATTTTTTTTCCTGTCTTATGAAAATTCATACGTGCATGCTCTCAAGTCAAGTATTTATGGTTTAAAAAATAAATTTAAAAAATATAATTTAAAAATAAATCAAAATGACATAGGAAATGGTATTATTGAATGTACTTATTTATGCTTATTTAGAAGTATTAATAACGATAATTATGAAAAGAAGTATCAACAATGTTAAACATCTGGCGTGTCACGCTCGCGAGTGGCCAGTATTGAGCGGTGTGGTGTGGTGTGGGCGGCAGGTGGTGGACATGGTGTCGGCGGCGACGAGCGCGGTGACGCTGGCCATCGGCGACGGCGCCAACGACGTGGCCATGATCCAGCGCGCCTCCGTGGGCGTGGGCATCTCCGGCGTCGAGGGGCTGCAGGCCGTCTGCGCCTCCGACTACAGCATCGCGCAGGTACACAACAACCCACCTGACTTGCTACCATCTAATTCAACACCGGTTTATGCAAAAGTAACTGTTTGGTCTTCTATCCTACGTATGGTCGATCTCTGTTCTCTACCATTACAGAAACCTTCGTTTATATATTCAAGTAAAACATGTATTATATCCAACAATATGTTTACAAACTTAATGACATAATATTATATTATGAAAGTATAGATATGGTTTTCAACTTCTGAAGCTGACCATAAATGTACATCAGAATATATCATCATCATCAGCCTATCTGAGTCCACTGCTGGACATAAGCCTCTCCTATCGCACGCCACTTAGATCGATTTTCGACTTCTCGCATCCAACTCCTGCCAGCCATCCTGCGCAGATCGGCATTCCACCTGGCCTGTGGCCGTCTTAGACTACGTTTGCCTAGACATGGTCTCCACTTAAGAACTCGTTTACCCCAACGGTTGTCGGTTCTGCGGCTAATATGGCCAGCCCACTGCCACTTCAGTTGGCTAACCCGAATAAAAATACACTAGTTGTTTTTTATTTTTCGATAAATATGATTATGAAATGAAAGAAAACTTTCTTAGATACTTTTGCATAACGAGATTTATCGAAAGTACTGATTCAACTCAATTAAATAAGGATGATTTAGGTATAAGGAAGAAAAAAATTATCATAACCCTTATAAATGAAATATTTTCGAACGACGAACACGTAGACACGTTAAAATATATTCCTTTTTACTTTTGTGATGTATGTTCAAGGGCGGATCCATGGCATATATGCCAAATATACATACACTCACAATTTTTTTATAAACCTATGTAATAATAATAATATTCTACCACATTCACACAACGCCATCTAGTCCCAAACTAAGCAGAGCTTGTACTATGGGTACTAGACAACTGATATAAATACATATATACTTTTTTTTTGTAAATACATACATATTATACATAGAAACACCCAGACCAAATCAAACATTAAATGTTCACGCACACAAATGTTTGACTTGAACGAGAATTGAACCCGCGACCTTTGAAGCAGTCCGTTACACAAACCACTACGCCATCCGGTCGTCACAAACTTATTAATTATATCTTTCTTGCATCCAGTTCCGTTTCCTGCTGCGGCTCCTATTGGTCCACGGCGCCTGGAACTACTCACGCATCAGCAAGCTAATACTGTACTCGTTCTACAAAAACATATGTTTATACGTCATCGAGTTGTGGTTCGCAATATATTCGGCATGGTGAGTAAATTATATTAGCTTTCGTCTGTAGATGTCACAAATGCGTTGTTGCACTTTATTTTAAAATACAACTCCCGCATCAGGAATATATCCTGTGTCCCGGGGTTACTTAAAAACCTACATGAAACGGACACAAATAACACCCAGACTCAGAACAACTATTTGAAGATCACACAAAGTGTTGTCCCATGCGGGGATCGAACCCACAACACTCGGCGCAGTAGGAACCGCCGCTTAAACCACTACACCATCCGTGCAGTCTCATAATAAACTCAATATTGGATGAAACTGTTTTATTTCAATAAGATACACGATAAAATCACATGATACATTACCATCTAGACAGCACACAGACAAGAGAGAGAACATAGAGTATTTATAAAACCATAGACTAGTGATTGCATTATGTATCTTAATCAATCCTCCCCCCCAGAAGCAGTATGCTTAACCCAGGTTCAAAAGCCAGCAACGGTCTTGTGACATTTGACTCGCTAATGTTGGTGGGCGACGGTAGTCACTACATGATAAGATAGGAAGGTGATGATGATAACGCATTATTTACTTTGACTGATTAAAATGACATTGTGTTCCCAGGTCGGGCCAGATCCTGTTCGAGCGCTGGACGATAGGTTTCTACAACGTGATATTCACGGCGCTCCCGCCCTTCGCCATTGGGCTATTCGACAAGCTGTGTTCAGCTGAAATTATGTTAAGGGTATGTGCTGAACTGTAATATCAATACTCTGGCCAGGTCAGTCTATGGATGGGTGACTATTTTTAACGCATTGAAACCCTGTGCTTTGGAGAGCATGTCAGCCTTCGGTCCCGGTTTCCATACGAATATCTGTGGCAATCGTTACGGGTAGTTAAAGCTCTAAAAATTACACAACAGTATATCTACGGTACCAATATCTCGTCTAGTACTTGGGTTAAAAACTCGAAGTTAACTCATACAACCTAGTTTGGGGAAAAATCGGGTCTACTTTATATTTTGATCTGTCAAGGCACACGAAATACTTGGTCAGTAGTATTAAGTACTATCCCCGCAAATTGCTAATGCGCCTGGCCGCCATTTTGGTGACGTATTTTGTTGACATTGACATTAGACACTCTGTACCGTTAGCATTATTCTGGCTGACGCGTTTTTGTTTTTTTTTTTTGTGTTTTAAATTGAATCAAAATCTAACCTAATTATATTATTAATATAGTTATATTACTAATAAGTCTTTTCTAATAAACATTGAAAATCACACAAACATTTTTCATTTCTTAGATAGATATTCTATTTCCAAGGTGTGAGATTAATTAAATGTCATCAAATATCAGTTTTTTCGTAAAATGTAATCTTACGATAAATGTCATTTCAAATCTGTCAAACTTAATAATTAACCTATTAAATTTGTAAATTTAATAGCATTTCTTTTTTAGCAAGCTGTACTTTTCTATTTTGGATGACGTCACGTGGCTCTTAATGTGACAAAGTTCCTGCGCATTAGCAATTTGCGAGTATAATACCTGTGCTTTTAAGTAACTATAGTCCATTCGCGTTAAGAAAATAGTGACGCATCAAGCCCCCGCCCCCTGAGCAATCATGCTTCAAGAAATTTTCGTTTCGTAAGAAACGTTAGAACCTGATTGGTCAGGGTGCGGGGTCTTATCGATGACACTATTTTCTTAAAGCAAATGACTAAAGTTAAATTATGGTTATTGGTTCCAGCACCCCGTCTTGTATATACCATCTCAACAAGGTCTGCTGTTCAACGTGCGGGTGTTCTGGGTGTGGGCGGTGAACGCGCTGCTGCACTCGGTGCTGTTGTTCTGGCTGCCCATGCTCATGGCCAGCAACCACGTGCTGTGGCCCAGCGGCAAGGACGGAGGGTACCTCGTCATGGGCAATATTGTTTACACGGTAATTGTGATAACGAAAAATAAAAAAATAATAAGAGGATGATTGAAGTTAAACTGACTGACACTAATTTTACTTTAATTGCTAGGCCAATGTAAATGTCATAGTAGGGAAGGTTTTTAATGTACCACATACTCCTGGTTCCTGCATCACTGCGGTGGCGTCTCCTGGGAGCCCAAGATCCGGAGTAGTTTTCCACCCAATCACCAAGAAATGGCTTACTGAAGTTTCAGTCTCGTTTTTCCTTAGCCCTTTACCTGTAGGCCAAAACCTCGTGTCTAAGGAGGGACCTAAGTCCAACAGTGGACTATTGAAGGCTGTTCTTGTGATGATGATTGTAACAGTAAGTAATTTTCCAGTACGTGGTGCTGACGGTGTGCCTGAAGGCGGGGCTGGCCACGCACTCTTGGACGTGGGTCACGCACGTGGCCATCTGGGGCTCTGTCGCCATGTGGTTCGTGTTTATCCTCATCTACAGGTGAGACATTGCTTATTATCGAAGGTTTTTAAAATAAGAAAAGAATAGATCTTTGTTATTATACCACTAGCTGCCCGAACCGTTATGTCAAAAGTTATTGGCCTGTCCCAGTCCCATAGAAAAAATAAATTAATAAAACGTATTACAGAATGATAACTTTTCGTCTCACATTATATTTGTATCCTGTGTCGCGGGGGACTTTACAAACATACATGAAATGGACACAAAGAACACCCAGACTCAGAACAACAATTTAGTAGATCACGCAGTGTTGTCTCCTGTGAGGATAGAACCGACAACACTCAGCGTAGTAGGTGTGCTCATCTCTGCAGTCAAGTTACACACAAACATACATAAAAAAAAAAATAAGTACAATACCTACATATCCAGTAATATGATTAACAGTAACGGGTACCCGATCATCTTAATCGGCGCCGTGATGCGCGGCATGGACCGGATGCTGTTCAGCTCGCTCGTGTTCTGGCTCGGGATGATCCTCATACCCATCGCCACGCTCATCCCCGACGTACTCATCACTGTGTAAGTATCATACTACATTACTTTGATTAAACTTAACTCGCTAAGTATGGGAGGGATCTCTCTAAGTAGGGAATGTAGCAGTGCGAGGTTCATAGCTTTGTCGTGAGGACAGACAGGATAAAAGCCGCGTAGTAATTAGGAACTTCTTATTATAATTAAATGTTGTGTGTGAGTGAACAATCAAAAATATACTTTGTCAATAGGGAATAGAAGTTACTATTCATTGAAATGTTTTGTTAAGCGAGTGTTCTGTTTATTAATCTGTGAGGAAACGTTACTAAAGAGATAGAAAACAATTATAATCCTTGTTTTAATGCTTCTAAGGTCCAGTTTTTATTAAACTGTGTACATGTTATTGAATCCTTAATGCAAATGTTACGCATGTACATTCAGTCAAAAAAGTATCGGGAATGGATGATTTGTTTATGGTTCCAAATTCAAATTTTTGTTTTTTTTTTGTTTTTGTTAGATTGGCACAACTGTTTTCCTTTTTTTTATTTATATTAAATACAGTGCTGTTTTTAGTTATATCATATCTAGTGTGTATTGCGAATTTCATAATGGACAAAAACATCGAACAAAGAGTTTGTCTTAAATTTTGCATCGCCAATGAAATTTCGTGTTCGGAGTCAATGAAACTGTTACAGAAGGCTTACGGTGAATCGACTTTATCAAAAACACGTGCTTATGAGTGGTACAAAGCCTTCAAAAGCGGTTGAGATGTGATGTAAGATTTGCCTCGCTCTGGCAGGCCATCATCGTCTGCAACTGAAGTTAACATCGCAAAAGTAAAGGAAATAGTGACTGAAAATCCTCATTCGACTTTGAGAGAGATAGCCGCCGAACTTTCTGTATCTCACGAGTCGATCCGTTTTAACTAATCATTTGGGTATGAAACATGTTACCTCTCGGCGGCTAGTCCCAAAAGACCTGAATTTTCTCCAAAAACTCAATCGCATGAGAGCCGCTGAGGACATGCTAGAACGAGTCAATTCCCACCCAACATTCATGAAACGCATTGTTACTGGTGACGAGACGTGGGTTTACGAGTTTGACATGCAAACTAGTCAACAAGCTTCAGAGTGGCGCCTTCCAACTGAACCGAAACCGAGAAAACCACGCCAAAGTCGATCAAAAGTCAAAGTCATGTTGACTGTTTTCTTTGACGGTGTTGTGCACTCGGAACTCTTGCCGGAAGGTGAAACGGTAAATAAAGAATGTTCTTTGAGTGTCATGCCGCATTTGTGAAATTTGTGAAAAGAAAATTCTTGGATTTTGCACCACGATAATACGTCTTCGCACATGGCCAGAATTGTGAACGATTTTTTGACCAAACACTCAACAAATACCATCGAGCAACCACCATATTCACCAGATATGGCTCCAGCCGACTTCTTTCTTTTCCCTAAACTCAAATTACCACTTCGTGGCACCCGTTTTCAATCGGTAGAAGACATAAAGGAGAATTCGCGGCGAGAACTGAAGTTTAAGAAATGTTTCTATGATTGGATTATTCGTTGGTGTAAGTGTATCGTTTCTGAAGGAGCATACTTTGAAGGTGAAATAATAAATTTGGATCAATAACAAACATTTTGTGTATTATTGATCTTTTCCCGGTACTTTCTTGACAGAGTAGTATATCTGGGATATCAAAACTCGTAAACAGATGGATATATTTTCATTTAGTTTATTTTGATTTTAAATGTGAACTGATCTAATGTTATGAGGTCAATAGAGGGATTTGAAATTGTGCCTATTTAGTGTATAAATCGAACCCAATTCGATAAATTACTATGATTGTTACAATCTACAGAGGTATAAATTTTAATAACATACCTACGGCATATTTGAGGCAAACACAAGATTCTTTTATTTTAAAGTAGATATTATATTATATTATTTTTATTTATTTTTTATTTTTCTTCTGCGCTTCTGGACATATATGGCATAAATGACCACTCTTGAGTCTAAATGTGGAAACCGAAGCCCATAACCAATACCAATACTAATTTACCGTAGATAGTGTTATAACAGAGAAGATAGACTAACTAATATCTGGTTTCTTCTAGTCAAGGAGCGACGGGGTCCCTTCATAGAACAGTATATACAGATAAGAAACCCCCAATTTAAAGGTTAGCTGTCTACATATTGCTTTAGTAATCTATTTATCCGTTCAAATCTACTCTTAGAAGGGCCGGCTGGAGTTGCACTCCATGGGCGGCGGTAGTCGCTTTCCATTAAGCCGTCTGCTCGCTTGCCCCCAATATAAAAAATAATATATAAAGTGGTTTTTAGAAATATTTTTTGTAGGTCTTATATAATAGATAGTCTACTAAGTCGTTAATGTCAACGAAAATTATTATGATTTGCACAGAACGAACTTTTTAGGCAGTTTTTAGGCAAATGAGATCTCTTACCAACGCCTTGGTAGTGGCTTTTACACATAAGTGATCAAAGAAATGAGTAAAATTCTCTTAGTAAGTATTAAATGTGCAACGTTGACTGTAATGTGATTCCGTCTTATTGTGACCTAAAGTTGAATCGGTATTCTGCTAGTCTGGGACTAGCAGAATACCGATTCAACTTTAGGTTACAATACGAGAATACCTTTTATGATATTTGTGAGATAGAGAGTAAATCGAAACTGATTTTTGAACAAATTAAAAATTCTTTCAAAATTCACTTTCGGTTACGGTAGTTCAGTTCCGAATATATTTATGGGAATTGACCTTCTGTGCGTCTCTTATAGGCTGTAAAGTCGTAGTCATCTTTTAAAATACGCTCTAGGTGCTATATTCATTTCCCGGGATAAAATCTTTTGCTTTCGAACAGTATGTCTTCGAATCCTTTCCTTCACTGCTATGATCGCCTTTTTCATACCAATACTACGTGAACGCCCAGATCTTTTTCTGTCACAAACAGAGGAGGTTATATTGTACCTATCAAAAGCCCGGTCCACAAACATTCGACGAATACCAAGCGGACGAAAAGTTTAAAAAAATATATTTGGCGCGAGAATGAGAAAACTCAATGAATATTCATCTACGAATGACAGATTCCAAATTCAAATGTAATGTTTTTTTTTATTGTGACAGTGTTTATGGCAAGAGTAAGTATGTTGAACGTATGTGGCCACATGTAGTCGTTTTCGTATCATTTTTTTTTTTACTAATATTATTTTAAATAAGTTTTCTGAATTTCTACTTCACGGTCCTTGGACAGCAAAATTTTCTTAAAACTACTTACAAACGATTTTCTTCACGGATTAATATATAGATAAGTAAATACTGTATTTCAGTAGTAACAGTTTATCCGTGGAAGAACCTGATTCGACCGGAGTGGTACCACCTCCTCACAGAAAAACCGGTATTAAAAAAATCCTTCTTTGCTTTTCACCGATTGCGTAAGTTTACCGGAGTCCTAAACCCCTCTAATTCGAGGGGATGAGGGGTTTAGGACAGTTAGTTGCAGGTGTTCATGGTCAGCGGTAGTCACTTACCATCAAACGACATACAAACAAAATGTAAATTATGTTTTGAACATATTCCAGTGTCCATAACTCCGCATTCAAATCGACGACGGAAGCGGTGCGAGAGAGCGAGATAAAACAACGTGATCCAAGTGCTCTACTCACACACCCGCGACATTCGTAAGTGCTCATACACATATATAATATAACATATATTTATATATAATTAATAATTTAATTATATCAACGGTGTACATGTTTTGAAGTGCGAAAATTCTTTGTAAAAACATCTGGTTACTTTGTTTTAAAGTTTTATAATCATTATTATAGAGAATTTTTGCATTAAAAACAGACCCATTATTTGACCAAGTTACTGAGAACACACGCAGTGTTTATGATACAACATCCCTACTGAAATGCGTCCAGGTATTATTGGTATAAATATATGTACAAAATTCAATTTACATTTTTCTTCTATTCCCCACACTAACGCACGAAAAAGGTAAATTCATTTCACATGCACGGTGATTATGGATCTATGGTTAATAGGTTTTTTTTTCAATTTTTTCGAACGTACTGTGTGTGATCTCAAACAAGTGTTCTGAATAAGTTTTTAATTAATACTCATTGATGCATGATAATTTTGTTTCTTATTTCTTTTGTAACCTACCAAATGAAAAAAAAGAAGATCAGTGTGAGACAGATAAATGAATATTTTTTGGCGGCTTTTTCTTCGGTCTATCACAAAATAGTTTAAAAAAGCAAACCACAAAATAGTATATATTTTTAAATATTATAAATCTTTATTTAAATTGTCCGTGTGGTGACGAATTAAGAATATGGAGTGTTACCACACCTACTAACCCCGTGGGTATCGTAAAAGCCGACTAAGGAAGCAAAATAGCCGGACAACAGCATTGCAAAGAGAAGGAAAACTTGATACAACTCCTATACCAACCCGTCTGGCTAGCGTGGCCTGGCAGCGTAGGCCGGAATCTCCTTTAGCCTAGGCCTATAAAAGGCTGATGAAATAATGATTTAATAGATCTTATTTTTTTAGCAAAAGCAATCATTAACAATATTTTTTTATTAAAAAAAACATTTAGTTTTTAATTTTATTTAGAAATGTCGACAATCCAATTCCAGACTTAAATAAATAATGCCTAGAAGCAACCGCCATTACTAACTTTTATTATTATAATAACATTTTGTTGTGCAGTCACAAAAGTGACGACATTCACATGTGAAATAACTCTCAGAACTCAGTTTTGGGTTAAGCTCGCCTTTGTACATGACATTTCCTTGTTACTTATATATATGTACCTATGTGTTCAGTGTGTACAATAAAGAATAAATAGAAAATAGATACGACTGTTTTGTAACAAAATGTAACAATTATACGTACTAACCTGTTTTGTTACAAATTTCGATAAATTCTAAATAACATACTCTGAAAGGTTAATTTACCTTGTTGACATTAGAACAGGTTACAACAGAAACAATATTAAAAGGGTCTATTTATATTTTTTAAATAAAAAAACTTATTGGGAACACAAATCGAGTGTCGTACATCTTTTTGGGTTTACAATGCGAGGCGAACAACATGTCTGACTGCGTATGCGTGTGTTGTGAATGCCCTTTGTGCATCATTTTGGAATGGACAAATATAGTGTTGAAATACTAATATCTAATTAGTTTTACAGTTTGTATATGTGTATATTAAATATTATAACATAGGGAGCATGTATGGAGTGTCCATATTATAGAAATAGAATTAGTATGTTGGATAATGTTTGGTGTGTTTTGTGCATTAGAAATAGACGATACTACATACATGCTTTTTACAGTGATTCTTGTATATTATTTAACGTAAATGACCGTCTTCTCAATGTTTTAACTCGACTAGAATATTTATAAACTAAAATGAAAGGTATGATTTCAGTTGTATGTACATGATTAGTGAATATCTCATCATCGTTTAATGTTTTATATTGACGTGTTCTAGTCGGGTATTCGTGTTAGTCTTACTGTTCATATTTTCATTCTATGCATTATGTAATGTGTGTGTTGTTGTCGGTCGATCTGCAGTATCTGTAAAGCCAATCATTTTAAATATAGTCTTACACGTAGCCACATATCGTAAATTTAAATGTACATGTATAAAAATTAGCATTTTATTTTTATTTTTAGGTCAACCATTAAATTATGTAGTACACGTTAAAACATCGTAGTGGTGAGCTTTCATATAAGTAGTTCGTACTGTCAGTAGAGCGCGGTACCGCGGCGTCAGACGATCGGTCGGCAACACCACAATAGACATCGGTAGCGTAGAGAGCACGCAAGGTTAGTTACGCGATATACGTGTTTAATTCGCTTCGCATCGCCCCCCTCCCCCGCACTCACACGTACGCTCGGGCGACGAGGTCCGAGGTCCCGGCGCGCGAGCGTACGGGCGCGAGTAACGTGTGTTGTGGCGGCAGCAAACCCAGCGGCTCGCCCGTGGGGCTGCGCTGGCGCCGAGCGGTCGTGGCGCCGCAGGAGCGCGCGGAGCGGCGCGGCCGCGTCATTTGACGCTCGCCGCGCGCCGCGCCCGTCGTCGACACGGACACCTAGCGCCGCAAGAGCCCTGACCTATACTTGTATGCTTTACCCTCCACTATACGTGATACCGTTGTACTGAATGGTTATTGTTATTTTTAATTTTCATTAAAGGCGGACGTACGTCATGTATGTGATAGGCGAACGGAACGCCCTCGAGTGGTAAATATGAGTAGTGTGGTTTAGGTACCCCACACCCCCCCCCCCCCCCACCCCTCGGTGCGGGTCGCTCGGGTTCGGCTGTAGAGGCTCTTTCGCAATACTGTTTCGCTAATGCGTTACCTTACTGTGTTCTTCCGACCTTTGCTCTTCGACGTCGTTCAAACTTAGAATCGTTAAACGATTTGAATCGATAGCTCAGATATATCGAGATTACTTATTTATTGAAAAATTCCTAAACGCGTTCCAATATTTATATAGTAATTAACATATATCGGTGTGCCACATATACGATTTTAAATGTGTGTATTTTGCACACGATTCGCGAGAATATCATAGTAGAATTACCTACTTAGTCTTGTGAACGCTAGATTTAGTAAATAGTAAATTATTTATTTACGAGACGTAAATTTGTACTAGGTGCCTAACGGTACTATACCTATGCTAAGAAAACCAGTCGAGTGTCCATCGAACGACTTCTGTTATAAACCCTTTTTAAAAACACCTTGAACCGACTTCAAACAATACTCACAAAGAGCACTAAAAACCTTGCTGTCATTATTTAAAGAGTTCCATTGTCTGTCTCCGAAACTCATCATCAGATCTGTAAGAAATTTAAATGGGACCATTTCGGATAAACCCTTTTCGAACATATATATGACGGAGTTATGCCCGAACACACTTAAAAAAAACATCCGAATTGATAACCTCCTCCTTTTTGAAGTCGGTTAAAATTATACTATATCTATTAAACAAATATATTTCAGCTTATCGTTAATTCTTTAATAAATTATTAGCTTTTCATACATTTACAGATTTTATATAGAAACTAAAATATTATTATACAAAAAATATATTTATTAAACTAGAAATAGTTCCTAAAACGAATTGGTAGGCCTTTTGATAAAGTTGTAACCTAAAAGTTTGGTACATTTACTAATTTATTTATACAATAAACGATAACACTTAAGAGACTACGTCGTTTTAGTCGCTTGTAAAGTTTATTATACACCTATAATTGGTCTGGAATGGCACTAACGGTTAAACATAATTTTTGTAATTTAGTCCTTATTTTAACTAGATATCGCTACTATTTAATGGATTTAATAATATCCAAGTTTAGGATATCGAGATTATAAAAAGCAATTCGTAAAACTTTCTTATGGCTGACTGTACGGATGGCGTCGTGGTCTAAGCGGTCACCTCGCCGCCACTTACTACGCCGGGACAACAATTTGTGTGATCCACAAATTGTTGTTTGGAGTCTGTCGGTTCTTTGTGGGCCGTTCGATGGATGAATTGCAGTCCCTCGCGACACATAATATATTCCTAGTGCGGTTGTCTTTATGAAAGAAAGAAACATGTAACGAAGTGATAAACTTAAATTGACATGTTTAGATTTTGTGTTATCGGATCAATACTTAGCATTCCACTCTGTTACATTCCTTTTTACACTTTAACTAAGAAATAAGTGTAATAAAGTAAGTTAAACTATATAGTTCCTTAGTTCCGGATGTAGTTCGAATTTATATCAATACAAATAAGGGTAATTATCGACTGACATGTAACGATGCCCCAAGTTCGCTCAATACGGATAAGTTGAACAGAACTCGTTTGATGGACATAAGAGATACACTATGTACAGTCACCCTCAATAAGAAGCACGTGGTGCATGCTAACACAGTTTATCGCACTTGTTACATAATTCTTCCACAGATGTTACTTTTAACATCACAGAGCTTTTAAAAGAAACACGTTTACAGAGTTTTAATCCTGATATATGGTTTGAATTGGCAAGTCACTGTAAATACTGTTTAGTCACTATATTACAATGTTTTGGCAAAACGGTTGGACGTTCAAGTTGGAACGGAGGTTTATCTACGCTTACTTCTTTTTGAGGCTGACTGTACGTATTATAGTAGACAAATGCTTTATATGTATATATAAATATACATATATAAATATATATTTATACTGTACCATATATTTTTTTAACTGTTTAGACGTTTTCTATAGTATAAATAAATATAGTTACTTGGACGGTACTATATTGTAAGTTAATGTAAAAATGTGCTTATAAAAGATTTGTTTCCAGAAATGTATATATTCCGTAATTTTATTTTTTACATTTAAACTGATTATTTGCCGAGTGATTAGCTATTTACGTTTGTATATGAATTAATTAAAGCGATACTCAATCAATTTATGAAACGATTTGAAATTTAAAAATTAAAAGAATATTCTTATTAGACTTTGTTGAATGTTCAAATATGGTACGTTTTTCGTTGTTACACATTTACAGAAGTTTCAGTATGTCAGGACAGGTTTCGAGTGCGTCAGTCAACCATAGGTTAATCCCTGTCCCGAGTGTTAGGATATCTGTATTGAAAGTTGAATTTTTAATAAATTTGAATCTTAACGCTAGATTTGATAGTTGTTTTGTAAGTTTATTGTTTGAATAATAAGCAATTAATATACAGTTAGGCGATTTAATTGGCGTTCATTGTTTAAATTATTTATTATGGACATTTTTAGTAAAATCGTAGCGAACTTAATAAAAAAATCATTTATATTTTCTTCCTTCGTTTTATCTTCCAAAATATAATATACGTTTTGTACATTATATTGCCTATAATTTGATCTAACTCGGCCAACAATTCTGTAATACAATTTTTTTTTGTCTTCCATAGAATTCTATTATTTATTGTTATAAAATGTTGTAGGTAGCTGTTGCGTCAAGACTAGGTGTAGGATATTTTTTTTAATATTACTTGTCTGTGACCAGACCACAGTACATATCAAATATTACGACATCTGTTAGGTGGGACGTTTCGCCAAATATGGCGTAGATGGCGCTAGTAGTAATTAACATAACATTTTTTTAATATTTCTAATATTCTTCCATTTTTCTTCCCTTAAACACAGTGTCTAAAAATAATATTTTAAAAAAATCTTTCTATTTTATAACATTATGTTACATGTCATTTAATCGCCTAACTGTACATTAAATACGTGGAATGTGACGTCATTATAGCTAGAATGGATTTTTCTAATCGATTGTGATATTAGACGTGTTAAATTAACTGAGAAACAAAATGTCTATTTATATATTATTGTTAAATATAACTAAAAAAATAATCTCATATAAAATTGTTACCGTATTTTATTAATGTAATGTTATGTGTGTGTGTAATAAATTGTAATATTGAGATTGACTTGCAGTTTTTCCATAGGTACTCTCTGTACATACCCTGCTATGTTTCCTATGCTTTTATTCTGTTTCGTCTCTGTTCTATTACATGTGATTGTTGATTACATCGGCTGGCATTGCACCATGGCTAATGAGTCATAAAGAGTTAAAGGGTGCTTCATTTTTTGTATTTTCCTATTGGTTTAAGCCTAGTTTCCCCCCCTTTTCCCCTGATTCTAAGGGGGGAGGGTATTAAATGCCCGGGTCGGGAAAATTGTTTTTCTTTTTGGTTTTTATAAATAGAAACTAGACACGTGCCATATCAGATTATAACTTATAAGTAAAAGAATAAAAAAGATCAAATATTAATAAGAAATTGTTCCTTTCTATGTGTAGACAACTCTGTCATTGCTGAAATTTACATCAATTTTGCTTCAATAAATTTATTTGTTTAACTTTGTGGGTACTTTAAAGTGACAACATCTAAAATAGATAGCAAAAATACTGACAAGGTTATTTACCTACTTAAAAAAAGCCTTAGCTCACAGGGCCCAGCACTACTCAGTGTTGCATTAAATTAAAATTAAATAAAACTTTATCTCTTAATTCTGATCTTCGTAGTCAGTGAGTGCAATGCCAGCCAGTCGGCATGTTCTTTAGTATTTTCTCTTTCTTCATCCTTCACTGTTCCATTTATCATCATCATCATCACTTACCTACTTACATACACATCTCTTATAACTTCTACACCATCATTCTGGCATTTCGCTACAATTTCCACTCTGAGACATTGTTGAATATTGACTACACAGAATATTTGACGAATCAAAAAATAATCGACTAAAAACTTAATGCCACGTTTTGCAGACTTGTTATTCTTTAGTATAAAATATCAATTTAAAGTAAAATGCCAGTATGATACACACAAATTAAGCAGTACATTTAAATAAACCTAGAAATAATGAAGTGAGAAATTTCAATACCATACCTCTTATTTAAACGATCACAATTTTAAACCGACTGAAGGACACATAAAATATAGAAATTTTATCACTGAAGTGGTCGTAAAGTTAATTTTGCTCGTACAGTATTAAGAAATATTTGTAGTTGTGTTAATCATCGACAGAATGAAATATAATTGTTGACAGATTAATTAAATACGTTTATGTCAACTGTACTGAGGTTTTTTAAACGGTTATCAACTTTTTACATTACACATGAATTATATGAAATTAAAATTTGATTATTCTAATTAAATCATTAAAGTAAATAACACAACAGTGTATTGTACCACTGTTGATAATGCTACTGATACTGTTGTTCAAAAACTCTCTAAACTTAACTAAAAATCACTAAAAATGTTTCTAGTCTTGTCAAATACTACGTTTACAGAATATGTAACGTTGTTCGACAGCACTAAACAAATGTGATTTTTAGTTTAGTTTAGAGAGTTTTCGAACAAGAGAATTGTCATTGTCCTATGTTTTAGATCATAGACGTGATTCTCAGGCAAAGTTTTACCTTAAAGTTTAATGTTTTATACAGGATAATTGTGATCAAAATGTTGTTTTTAAAGTAAATAATAACAGGTGTGGCCCGGCCTCAGTGTCCATCTCTCATGTAACATAAGTGTAACATAGTTGTTTGTTTATTTTGTTGTACATAATATATACATATATAACATGTGCCATTGTACTGCACTAGTAACTTATTTGTACAAACGTAACATAAGTGATTCCGTTCCCCTTGTTTTATTAATTAGCTATGTTATAATAAATTTGTTCAAATTATATGTGTATTGTTAATTATGTCATATATATTTTTTTATGTTTTAGTTCAGTATATGATTTTGTATGTTTGTTTTTGGTTATTAGTGTGTGTGTATGTATATGTTTTATGGACATATACGTAGGTGGTTATAATCGACATAATCGTATACTGAACTGTGTTTTACAGGTGATGGTTACTATATAATGGGTGATTGTATCAAAAATATTGTAATCAACATACTTCATACGTGTTCAAAGCCCAAATTAAAAGTTCCTATAGATATAATTTTATGTATAAGTAATAGTGGATAATATTAATATTTTATCATGGCGTACTCAATCATTTCTGTAAATGTCTTTCTAGTTTAATACAGTGTTCCTTGTTAACCCCTCCGGATAAGTTAAATATTCTTGTTAAAAATGGATTCGATTCCTTTGTGAACTTGGTGGGATGTGAACCCACAACCACTTGACAGCAACTTATCGCTATAACCTAATCGATAATAATATTGCAAATAAAAAAACTAAGAGAGTAGATATATAGAAAAACTGTATTCTTTAAGACTGATTAAACTATTTTAATTGAATATGGCTACATTAATAGGTGATGGGGCGATACGTAATCAATAACTGCATTGTTTTCTTAATAACCTACTGGTATTGGTATAACATGTATGGGCATGACACGTGTGAGGCATGTAGCCACTAGTTGTGGTCCGACTAACCGGGTGTGTGTGACTAACGTTGGTGGTTGTTCCCCGACACAGCGCGGCGGACACGCGGCACGCCCTGATCAGGCTGGCTCAGTGTAAGTACCGGTGCCGGGGTGTCAACACCCGGCACGCGAGCTTGCATGGCTTGTGCGTCACGCTTTAACAACACACCTTGTCACTTCTGACGACGAAACTTTGAATGGTGTTTTACGAGCCGTTCCTCAGAAGTGACAATCGTTAAACTATAAACAGCAGTACGACACCCACGCTTCTTTACCCTATGTGTACTGTCGATCGGTTAGATTTTCGATAAAAATTAAATATTCAAACTCCAAATTTATCGTCGGATTGGGAACAAAAGTCTCTCTTGCACGTGTTGTCAAAATCTGTGGGTCAATTAGAATGGACGGTGGAAGGTATCGTTCCCACTCTGACCGTCGCGGGTGTGGGGTCGCGATAAAGACATGTTGTCACGGCGCGCTCCTTGTGGCAGCCTGACGGAGACGGCGCGCCTGCTGCACAACGTGCGCTCCGTGTTCCGCCGCCGCTCCGCCGCGCGCGCCGCCACCGAGCTCGAGCTGTCGCGTGAGTACACACGCACACGCACACCGCACACCACACACACACACACACCACACATACACACACACACTAGCGCACCGCTGACGCGTCGTAGACGCACCATACACATAGACCCACACATTATTTTATTTCAAACTGCAGACGCTATCGAGGATTGTCAAAGGTACCCTTTACATTTATCTCATATATTTTGTAATACTTTACACACTTTGTGTTTCACGGCACAAGATTGTATAGTGTTACCACGCCGATTCGATGAATCGCTCATTTTTGCCGTTTTGTTCCGTTTTTTTCATAAAACACGTTTGATATTTTCGATGACGATTCGCTGCCGATATATAACGATATTTGAATTAGTTTTGTATGCGTACAGACGGTTTCGCGTTCTCGCAAGAGGAGGGTGGAAGTGTCTCGCAAGCGGACGTGATCCGCGCCTACGACACGAGCCGGCCGAGGCAGCAGCGTTCCTGAAGTGACGCGAATCGAAGGCGCAAGGTGTCTCGAACGGAACCTTACGTGCCCTGCTGTTAAGCGGTTCACCACTTACAAAAACATCCCTTCTGTTACCATATTTATCTGTTGTTTCTTTGTACAGTAACAGAACTGTGAGTACTGTTAGTTTTTTTTATAGATGATCATGACAAATTCTTTGACTAAGTGTTATTAATCGTACTTAAAGTGTAGGTACCTTACGTGCGCACCTTGTCTGTATACTAACTATATATAAATTATTATACATATAAATGTATACAAATTATAGTATAATGACTATGGATGGTATACATCATCTCCGAGTTTTCTATTTTGAATATTTTACGACTTTCGGTCACAGGGAAATCATTATAAATCCTAGACCATAAATTAGGTAAAAAATATATATTTTAAAAACTTATTTTAGTTGTTGTAAAGTCATAATAAAACATAAACATAATGATAATATTATTATACGTGTGACAGACAAGTGACATTTACTAGTAGCTCTAGTACTGAAGAACATTCTGTATATGTAAGGGTTAAGTACAGTCACGTTTAGAATCGCTTGGATAGCTTAAAGCCTATAATCGCGTGAACACTTGAATCAAATTTAATAAAAAATATACTAGATGGCGTTAATAGTTTTTCTTACTCACGTTGACACTAGTCTCTCTGGCAATTTAAAACTAAAACACTCACTTTTATTCATTATGGTGTTTGAGGTCAAATAATACCTAACATATTGTGGTCTTTTGTTATTATTAAATATAATATATAATTTATATGTTATAAGAGTAAAACGCAATTGAGTATACCAAAAAATCTTTAAGTTATTTTATTGAAGTTTTAAATTAGCACAACGCCATCTAGTAAGACCAAAATGGTGCATGTAACTTCTATAAGTAAATGGAATCTGATAGGTAAAGATATACCGATTTCATGTTTTGTTTAGATTTATCAAATACTTTAATATGAAATTAGAATTTTGAATGCTTCAGTGAAACACTAACAGCCATGTTTTATATTTTTATGGAAAGGTCTATTTTATATGTACAATTAAATTACACGCAGCGGAAAGTACGCAACCGATGTTTACACTACAAAGATACAACTTGTTGACTGATAACTCCTTAATGTAGCAGAGTCTACATACCCACGTGAGTGTACATATATATACTTACAGATATATTAAATATTCAAATGTTAGTTTACAATTAGTCGCTTATGTGTATGTAGATATTTGTAATAAATATATAGTTAATAACTCGTGATGTGCCGGGACGTTTGTTTGGATCAATATAATCTAGATCCGTGAATTATCATCTTCATCATCATCAACAGCCTTTAACAGTCCACTGCTGGGCGTAAGCCTCTCCTTACAAAGGAAGTATTGGCCTACTATACCACGCTGGCCAGACGAGTTGCTATAAGGTGAATACAGATACGAAATTGACCATTGCTTCAACAGTTGAGACGTTCAAGACCAAATAGCGTATAACATATTTCGACTTTTTAAATTTATTATTACGTATCTATGTGAGTAGGATTTAGGATTTGATCCTGTTACAAAGATAGTAATATTCATGTAACTGTTTATTAACATTTAGGAACTCGCTTCATTATATGTTAATAGCAAAATAAATCTAGAATTTATTGCTATGAGAAAAAAAAACTAAAAATTCTGTTCAGTATCTACAAAAAGTATTTATTCAACCGCGGATATTTGCGGATACGGTTATCTGGCACATCACTAAAAATAACACCAATTAATTTCATTATAGCTAGTAGATAAAGAACAAATAGTAAGAAAATATATTAGTAGAATTTAATAAAATATTTTTCAAGTATTAAAGCACCTAAATGAATCTCTAAGCGTTATGCACTAGATAAATTGACATAACCCACTTTGGCACAAAATTCAATAATTCGACATTCCTTACGAAATCTAGTCAGTTTCGGTCGAACACCACTTGTAAATCAGCATAATTAGTATTATGTTAGTACATAGTTTAAATGTATGTACTATTAACAAACATATATCTTTATTAAATATAATATTGTTTTGTAATTTTGGTGAGTAATAACAGCATATAACAAGCCCCAATTAATTTAAGAAGGCTTCGCTTATCAATGCTAAACTCTAAAAGTTGACGTTGTACAGATGTGTGGTATGTGTATTTGTTAAGCCGTATATTAAGAGACGCCGTGTAACGAATATTATATTTACCAAATGAGTTAAACACCAACGTAAAATGTGTTTGTGAAATGATTAAAATATTTAAGTAAATAAATGTGATATATTACTAATGAATCTTAATGTTTTTCATCACTCTTTACAATGGAGGCTGGTGTATTTTGGACGAATACTGGTATTTCTCTATGATTGTAACGATTTATTAGTGTTAACTGTTTTTAAATTATCAGTTTGTTTTTTAAACGTACGAGATGTGGTGTTTAAGAGATGTTTTATATGAGAGTATTAAATTTAGTTTGCCATCGGGTTATCTTACATGTTTACCGAATTGACAAATAACTGTAGTTGTTTTTTTAAATTGGATAAAGGGATAAAATAGACCCTTGTATTAGTAGATATTATTATGATATATTCTTTACAGGTACATTGAATTAATCAATTAATAATAGGTAAACCAATTTCAGTTTGTTTTTGGAACGAAGTTCCTTATCGCGCGTTGTGAAAGGGGGCTAGACGGAAAAAAATCTCACGAAAAGTTGTAACGACACTTTTTATTTTGAATTGTCACTTGTCAGTCATTCAGCGCCATCTATCGAATAGATAGGAAATCATTACTTTTCATCTCAGTAAAATTAAAATTTATGTTCTTAGGTTGAGCAAAAAATATTGTATTCGACATCATTTCTCAAGGAGATTTTACCAATGTATAAATTGTTTTAATTAGAAACCAACTGAAAAATATGTAGGTAATAGCCGCTTTCATAGATGGCGTTGTAATTAAAATCGTGTCGAATCAGTTTTACTCGATCGTCACAACTTCGTTCCTATCGGGTGTCCCACGACACCACACGGCTTTTTTATTTGTAGGTATGGGAAAATGTGTTGGAATTATCATCCCTCAAGTGTAATCAATATTTATATTGTTGTCAACTTATATCTAAGTATAACATGGATAATTAAGTATTATTTTTTAATATAAGCAATCAATGAAAGTAAGTACAAAATACTTTGCATGAGTTTTAGATATTACTGTACATTTGACAACAGTAAGAATGCTACTGATCTAAACCGTGATAAATATCAGTAAAAGTGATCAATAGAATTATTCGTTTTATGACAGGAATCTACAAATTGATAGCCACTGAACATCCATAGTTTTTGATCACCAATGATGATCACAGCGAGGAATATACCGTCATGTAATGCCAGCAGAAGATTGCGCATTCTCTACCTTGCAGGAAGCTCTTGTTTCATCAAATCTTCGTCGTAGAACTGGAGTGCTATAAACCTCCCATACCTATGACAATTCATTAAAGTTTATCATGAAATATCTTCAAAGTGGTAAACTCTTACTTATAAAGGTTGTCAGAGTTCTCTTAAGCAGAAAATACGATTAATGTAACAGTTTTATGCCTATACGCATATAAAACGCCCACATCATGCCAAATATATAACTTTAGTGAGATTTTCGTAATATGAAGTAATATTTATAAACCGAGTACTTAAATATTAAATTGGGAATATTTTGAAGACAAAAATAGATAGTAGGGAAGGTATATTGTTTATACAGATGAATTAAGAAGTATAACGAATAGATCATTGTTGTATTAAAAGTCAGAGCCTTCTAACTTATGTGTTTTCTTATTTTCCAATGTCATAATAAACTCTAGCTTTAGTTATACTTGAATATTACGTTTTATATCAACTGTTATTCATATTTTAATTATGTCCTACAATGTTACAACCTTGAAGTCAATAATTAAACGAAATTCATGTAGTTTTATCGTTATTTGTTAATGTTGGACATTTGGAATTTATCAAGTATGTTGGCTAATCAAATGTTTGAATTTGTAAAATTACTTTAATTGAATAAATAATTCATATACTGACTTAATAATTTTAATTCACAAAATATGTCGCATGTCACAAATTTTTTTGATGATGAATCAAAATGTTTGTTGAATTTTTTGTGTGATTAAATACTTTTTCTAAGGTTAAATTATTGAAATGTTAAGTACAAATATTTCTTTTAATGTTATTCTGTTGAATATTTCGTAACTTTTAACCCAATGTGGGTTCGGTATATCTCCAATCGAACCATGTTATGTACACTTGTACCTTGTGTTATGTAGTATGTGATCACCATGTCTCGCACGGAACACCACTTTTAACATGTGAATGTAACTGATATAAATTATATTATTTATTCTCGTTCTTTATCAAGATTTTTATTTTACACAAATTCCTTTATTATCCTGTCAGTATTTGACACTTGCAAGGTAAGACTGCTTACATAGTACAAAAAATGAGAGAGCCACGCTTCGGCAAATAAGGGCCGACTTGACCGAAGTGAAAGCACCGCCTCACAGAAAAAGGTGTAAAGTATTTTTTCTTTGCTTTTACCGAGTGAAAAAGGTTACAGGAGGCTCATCAATATCATCAGCCTATCGTAGTCCACTATTTTACATAGGCCTTTCTGAAATAGATCGATTTTCGGCTTCTCGCATGCAGCTCCTACCAACCATTTTGCGCAAATCGTCACTCCACCTGGCCTGTGGGCGTCCTACACTACGTTTGGCGAGACGCGGTCTCCACTCAGGAACTCGATTACCCCAACGGTTGTCGGTTCTGCGGCTAATATGGACAGCCCACTGCCACTTCAGCTTACCAATCTGGTGGCCTATGTCGATGACCTTGGTTCTCTGCCGGATCACCTCATTCCTGATGCGACTCCTTAAAGAAACGCCGAGCATAGCCCTTTCCATAGCACGCTGAGCGACTTTGAGCTTGTGAAACAGCCGTA